GGAGAGGGGAAGTGGGTGGAGGGGAGCTATGGGGAGGAAAAAAGAGGAATAAATGTAATCTGAACAATAAAGATTTAATTAAAATAAAAGAAAAGACATTCTATCGAGTGAAATGAGCCAGCAACACAAAGACAAACATGCAACTTTTCAGCTCTATGTGATCCCTAGAGCAGCCACACTCAGTGACAGAAAGCCACTGTGGGAGCCAGGGGCTGGGGAGCAGAGGGGATGTAGTGGTCAATGGCCCAGAGTTTCCGTTTGGGGAGGTGAAAAAGTTCTGGAGATGATGGTGGTGATGGTAGCACAATATTGTGAAGGTCCCTAGTGACACTGCACTATACACTTAAAAAAGGTGACTTGTATGTCTCATCAAATCATTGGTTGATACCCTGCCCCTGGGACCAGCCCTTTAGGCTACTTCACAACAGGCCTTCCCTCCCGCTTAGACCACATCCCACTTGTAAGACCACACTCCACTGGTAAGACCACATCCCACTGGTAAGACCATTATCTTTCTCCTCTGGACTGTCCCAGGACATGGACCCTTTAAAGCCTAGAGTCCTTTAACCCTCTGACTGCCTGTCACTAGGGATGGTGCCATTTGGGGCTCATCCCATGTGGTCTCCAGGTGACCCAATACATTCATGATCCCTCACCCCTTTTGGCCTTGTGTCTTCTTAGTTCGGCGACCCTGACAGTGACATGATAATTGTTGAGTTATTCCCACTTTACCACCACAAAATAAAACCAACAGGCTGGGCCCCACTGACCAGGGATGTGTCTCCGAGGGAGTGGGTGTCTGGGAAGGGCGACTAGCAGGTCAGGCAGCGCTGCCGACGCACACGCGGCTCCTCTGGGGGTCCTCTAGCCGTCTGCTGGCTTTGCGGGACCGGCAACACCATGGGCCCTGGCCACACGGGCCTCAGCCACATGAGGGCCTGGCACACGACTCCAAGCCCTCTCCTCAGCCTCTAGTCCACGGCCACATTCCACCCCCATTGTCCTGACCAGCAGGGTTCTGTTGCCGGGTGCGGAACCCATGGCAGCATCCAATCCTCACTGACCATCAGGCTTTCTCTGTTTCTCATCAGGTACCCTTTCTGCTTGATTCCCAAGCGGGCTGTCCTCACTGAGGACCATGGAGTCCTCAAGGTCTGTTTGACAGCAGCCGGGTGTCCTAACCACTTGCTCTCCCTTCCCCCAGAAATGTTAGCTCACACACCACCCAGAGGAAATGACCATGCAAACATCAATGACACCGGCCAGCATGGCTCAGCGCATAAAGCGTCGGCCTGCATACCTAAGTGTCCTGGGTTCGATTCCGGTGAAGGGCATGTACTTGGTTGTAGGCTCCACCCCAACCCGGGCCCTGGTTGGGACTCATGCAGGTTGAAAGCAATCACTGTGTTTCTCTCACTTGGATGTTTCTCTCTGTCTTTCCCTCTCTCTTCCTCTTTCTCTAAAAAATCAATGGAAAAATTCCTCAAGTGAGGATTCAAATAAATAAACAAACAGCAAAGACAACACATCCGAGCAGGCGTCAGCAGCAGTGGCCCCACACGGGCGAGGTTGCTATCAAAGCCCAGTGATAGTCACCACATTAGGGAGGCCCCTTGAGCTGCAGGCAATGACCTTCCTGCTGCACCTCGGATGATGGTGTGGCATAGTAATTTCTCCTTTGCAAAGCTGCTGTTTGAAACTGTTTGAACTACTCTGTTATTCTTAGACAGTCTCTTATTTTGTAGGTCAACTCTGTTATTTTTAGATAGTCCCTTATTTTGTAAAATAACTCTTTTAGTTTGACTAATAGAAAAAGATAAAAAAAACTTAGGTGTCTGACCTTGCAAGCTAGCCATCTTATGTAACAGGCTAATACTGATATTAACATTAATTTCCATATTCTTATGCCAAGTGTTAGTTCATTATGTATTCAAGGTCACAAACTGTTTGTAACAATAACCTACAGAGAGTTCTCTGTGAAATCTGCAGACAAAGGGCTCAAAAAGGTATAAATAGAGAGAACTTCCTCCTTGTGTTTGCTCAGAGATTTGGGAAACACCTCCCTCTGGGCCTGCGCTAATAGACTCCTAATTAATTGGCTCATTAAGGCGTCTCCTATCTATCTCGCTGATTTACAATACAACAAGGACATTCTGAACGTGGCGTCCATGAGCAAGATGCAGTGGAAGGTGAAGGTCACTACTGACTGGGAGAAGCTGGCCG